TTATTTTTATGTAAAGTAGTATTCAGGGCTTTCTCGGGTCGCTGATTACGAACCCGAAATCATAATTGTAAAATTCAAAATAGTGGATCCAATATGACCGACCAATAATTCAAAAATAATTTTTATTTTTATGTAAAGCAGTATTCGGGAGTTTCTCGGATCGTTGATTATGAATCCGAAATCAGAATTGTAAAATTCATAATGGCGGATCCAATATGGCCGAATAATAATTTCAAAATAATTTTTGTATGAAAATGTGTATCTAGACGAATGTACTAATTTTGGTAAAGGTGTAGAAAAAGGGCGTCACCTCCGATCAGCCTGATCTTGACATATGTCATAGAGGTCACCCTTCTGAGTGACCTTCTGAAGATTTTAGCCGTCGCTCATTGTTTGTTAAAAAATTATGGACTGACTTAGGTTTAGGTTCAAATAAACATAATTTTCTACAAAACGTTGTATATGTTGTATATACTATATTATATTATATTATAGTAACATATTAATCGCGGTTTGGTTTATAGAAAACACAAAAATTAAACACTTTAATAAAGAATGACTGACGCTTAATGTAACGATAGGTTGGGTTAGGTTAGTTTTGAGGGGGGGTGCGGGGGGCGCAGCCCCCCGCTAGTTGTTCGATATTGCTCGTTAACGGTATACAGTATCAAAAAATTGTAATATATTTTTCGAACTTCTTTCATCAATAACTTTTTAACAAACAATGAGCGACAATCTCGAACGACTAGCGGGGGGCTGCGCCCCCCGCACCCCCCTTCAAAACTAACCTAACCCAACCTATCGTTACATTAAGCGTCAGTCATTCTTTATTAAAGTGTTTAATTTTTGTGTTTTCTGTAAACCAAACCGCGATTAATATGTTACTATAATATAATATAATATAGTATATACAACATATACAACGTTTTGTAGAAAATTATGTTTATTTGAACCTAAACCTAAGTCAGTCCATAATTTTTTAACAAACAATGAGCGACGGCTAAAATCTTCAGAAGGTCACTCAGAAGGGTGACCTCTATGACATATGTCAAGATCAGGCTGATCTGAGGTGGCGCCCTTTTTCTACACCTTTACCCTAATTTTAATAAAATTAGACTTAGGATAAAATTTAAGAAGACGATGACGTGGCAAGATTTTAATTTAATTCATTGTTGTTTTCCTTATATTTTATGTATTTTTTTGTGTTTTTATGTTTGTATTTTATATATTTTTTATGTTTCTTATATTTTATATTTTTTTTATTCTTATATTATATTATTTTTATATCATAAAAACAGTTAT